TTTTTTTTTTTTTTTTTTTTTTTTTTTTTTTTTTTTTTTTTTACTGGATTGCGTGACGCAGCCCAGTCGTAAAATGCCTTTGGTTTTTTTCCCTGCTCAACAAAATGGCAAAGTTGCGCAATATCACCCATATATGGATTTGAATGACGCGTTTATAGATTCATGGCTCATACGCTGGTTCAGCAGCTGAGGCTGTGACTCCGGGCTCTCCATAGTTAGAAATAATATAATTGAGCTGTAAAAGAATATTTCTAAACATCCCCATTTTTATAATCTGAATGACATGTACGCTGGCTTAGCAGCCGCTGAGGCTGTAACTCCAGGCTCTCCTTGGTTAGAAGTAATATAAATGAGCGGTAAAAGAAGATTTCTAAGGATCCTTCTCGAGTAACGTGCAAATTGCGCAAGATTACCCGTAAATTCTGAGCTCTTAGATAGGCTTAGCAACTGAGGCTGTAACTCCGGGCTCTCCTTAGTTAGAAGTAATTGGTCACATTTATACTGTCACGAAAACAACGCTAACCGACGCCGCCAATTACGCAAATGCAGGTAATTAGGCTATTGTAATCGTGGCATAAACATGAACAATGTGACTATTCTTCACTTGACTCTGAAGATGACTTCTTCTCATGTTGCCGAAACTTCAGTCCCATCAAACAGTCCTTCTGAGGACTACATCCACCCGGATGATCATAATACCATTATTGTTGCCCAACTCATTAATAATTCATTAGAAAAACATAACAGAAATCACGACCGTGAAGAGTGTTGTAAATCTGATACAAAATTGTGTTCATTTGCATGAACTTTAAGTTGGATTTTCTTTACCAGATTCGCTTTAATTTTGAAAATTTTAGTGAAACACAAAGGAACTAACCTAGACGTTTGACAAGCAATCTACAGTATTCGTGTCCGTGTTGTATCAGATGTACAAACGCTCGGCTACGCCTCGACTTTGTATATCTGATACAACACGGCCACTCGTACTGTATATATTACTTACTTCGATAAACATTCATTCATCTGGGTTCACCCACCTTCCTGTGATAATGCGACTCTTGCAAACAAAATTGCTAATTTTTTAAATTACTGGCAAGATTGAACAAATACATCGCTCCTTGACAGAGAAAAACATACCTCTCTCTGATCCAGAAGTCCACCAGCCATTGAAATGTGTGACTGATATCCAGAACTTTGCTAGTATAATTGAAGATAATGTTAAGCCTCTTGCAGGTAAATTAGTATATGTAATAGGACTCCATGCTGTCCAATTAAGAAATAATTGGACCAGGAAAATTCCGAGGACTTCCAAAATTGGACGAGGCCGTAGGCCGAATCCAATTTGGCAGTCAGAGGAATTTTTCGAGTCTAGTTATTTCTTGATTGGAGAGCATGAAATCCCATTACCTATTAATTATATAGCTGCCTAAATAATCCCATATCAAGACCTGTCCAATTAAGAAAATAATTGGACAGTTACCTATATGGGATTAATGAGATGCTGTATAATTAATAGGAAAATCATGTAGCCTTGATCCTTTACCTGCATTGGTACTCAGTGAAAGAGTGCTTTCCTGTGTCACTGCCTGTCCTGACCAGCATTGTTAACACTTCTCTATTAACTGGTATTTTTCCTGATGACTTCAAAATTGCTGCTCTCCTACCAACATTAAAGAAACCTGGCGCTGACTTCAACACATTTTATAACTTCCTTCCTATTTCTTATCTAAAGTTTTTCTCCAAGTCAATTGAAAATGAACTTCATGGGCAAAAGCTTGTTTTGGTTTATCTATTCATGATTGATCTACTCGAACACTATTATGCACGAACAAGCGAAGATCGATGAGGAGAACAGGGTTTCAAGAGTCAGAATAAGCGATATAGTAAACACATATTTCATTCAGCATGACTCGTTTATATTCTCTTGAACTTATGACAATATAGTCTTATATATCATAGCTTATATTTATGTATTTATATGAACTGTTTTGACTTCAAAGTCTACTCACAAAGGAACATGAGGTACACAGCAATATTTATTTTAAGATTCTATTTGATTTAAGAAGCAAAATTGATAGTTTGCTACGCACATTCCAGGGTTTCATATTTGCCGATCGAAGCGTTATGGTCTCCTTTAACTTTTCTTCAAAAAAATGGCGATTCATCAAAAAAATATCGATAAATTATAAAATGTTAAGCAATTATAAGAGAGGTTTTGAGTAAATGTTAGCCTGTATTAACGTTTGAAATGAAGCATTTTGATTTTAAAGCGAGCCGTGCGAATGTGCATGCTTTTGAGACGTCGTTGCACAACAAGCTAATTACATATGCCAAAATCCGGAACTGAAATTGGAGTTCCAGATTGAGTTTGATGAGTATGGCAATAAACGAAAACTAGGGTCTGGTTTATCACTATTTCGAGACGTCACGAAATACTTTATCAGTAGTTTGGAAGCTCAACCAAGGTCCAGGTATCCCAGCTTACCCTGGAACCAGGGTCTTGGTCACTTAAGAAACATTTCTGAGATTCGTTAACTTCTTAATCAAAGTACCTGTGAGATGGTCCATGCTTTTATGTGCTAAACTTGATTACTGCAATTCGTTACTTTATAGTATACCTAAGTTTTTTGTCAGTAGGTTACAGTCCGTACAGAATACAGCAGCTCGTGTTGTTACATTAACTAAGAAATTTGCCGAGCACATAACTCCAGCTTTAATTAAGCTACATTGGCTGCCTGTACAATATAGGATTACTTTTAAGTTACTTTTACTTGTCTCCTACAATGTTATTTATCTGAGTTATGAAGTTATCAGGAGTTTACTCTAGATCATTACGTTCCACTAGAAAATAACTTTTATCTATACCTAAAAGCAATCTTAAAACTTATGGAGACAATGCTTTTGTTGTTGCTGCACCAAGACTGTGGAATTATTATTATTATTATTATTATTATTATTATTATTATTATTATTATTATTATTATTATTACTATTCAGACCACTGTATACAATATTTGCTTTTAGTCGCCAAGAAAGTATTGGAGTGGGGAAAACACACTTTAGATGGATGTCCACTGACCGTAACAAGACCAGTCCAGCCAAAGAAAACGCCTTCTTTGAACGAAGAAGAAGACCCCGAACAACCTGTACAGCGGTCTAGAGTAGTCAGAGTTAYAGGGATTTCAGRCAAAACAACCAARGACGCGTTRTTGAATTTTTTCGAGAATACCCGACGGTCTGGAGGAGGAGAGATAGAGGATATTCAGCATATGCCAGAGGAGAGATTGGCTGACATCACATTTTGTTCTCCTGACGGTATTGCTTCGTTTGTTTGTTTCCAGTTTCTTGTTTTTGTTATTATATACATATATATTTTCGTTTTTGTTTTGTGTGTTTGCTGCTGTGATTGTTTTGGTTGTTGTTGAAATTTTAAAAATTACAATAGGTAAAGTGTTCCACACGTAAACCAACGCTGTAGAAACTCTCAYAATGGTTATCATATAAAAACTTATTGATTTTAGATGCTGACTGCAAAGCATAATTTCTTCCTTCAAAACCCTGATTGGATTTTGGTCTTTCCGAGCCGTAAATCATCTTGGAATTTATGCAAATGAGTCTACAGGCTTCGGCCATTAACTTATGTTTTTTGCGAAAATCTAAAATGACTCAAGATATTCCAAGCAGTCGCTATGGAGAGTACTTTTTAATTTAAAAGTACGCTGATCAATCAGCTGAACATAGGTTAAGCATAAGTCAATTCCAAAGGTGCCGAGCTCCTCACCCCCCCACCCGGCAACCCTTCGGGCATTTGACTTTTTGCAAGAAAATTGGGTAAATTCCCCACCATGAGGTCCAACCAAATGATCAAATGCCCCACCGTTCAGACTCAAGTAAGTGGTCAAATGCCCCCCCCCCCCCCCCCCTCCTCCAGTCTGATGAATCTCAAATTTTACCTAAAATGTACTAAACTAAGATCGTACAACTTAAGTTTTTTTAGTCATGGTTATCATAGTAAATGAAAAATATTAAATTTTACTAATATCATAGATAGCAAATCTCGAATTCCTCTCAACAAAACAGTAATTTTAAACAACTTAGGCATTTTTGTTTTTTAAAGTTCAAAGCACGAATATAGGCACAAACCAGTCCGAGAATAAATTATGCAAATTAGGTAAGGGCCGCTACCCATTAGCACCTTTGGAATTGACTCGTGCATTAACGGTAAGTTTCCAAAGCCTCGGAATTCCCTGAATTCTTCGGAGTTTAATACAACTCTTATGAAACACAAATATTGAGCCATTTCTACTGTGGTAATTTGCAAACTACTGTCTTATTTACTATAAAATTTGCTTGGGAAAACAATCACAGGTTACTGTAGAAGCGTTTGAAGTAAAACTACTCAAAATATTTACCTCGTCCATCCYGAATACCCTACATTTCATATTCTGGCTGCGTTACCAGCGTGGTTGGTCCTTGTAGTGTAGTGGTTAACACAGAATACCGAAGACGTGGGTTCGAATCCTGCCAAGGGCATTTGATATTTTTCTCTTATTCTCTCTACTTCATTATATACACACCGAACGCACAATTTATTACTACTATACTATGTCTATTCTTTGCGTACATATTTACGGTGTTCAACTTATCTATAGAGAAAAAATATCGCTCTGGGATCCTCACGAATACCCTACATTTCATATTCTGGCTGCGTTACCAGCGTGGTTGGTCCTTGTAGTGTAGTGGTTAACACATCGGACTAGAATACCGAAGACGTGGGTTCGAATCCTGCCAAGGGCATTTGATATTTTTCTCTTATTCTCTCTACCTTATTACTACATCCTGATAACAGTTCAAAACATTTTGCTCATGATAAATATTGTAGCAGAGAACTCTGAGTTTGATAAGGATGAGAAACAAGAATAGCTTTAATAAAAGGAAGAAGACTTAAAAAACAACTCTCCATCGCAATTCCTTGGAATATCACCAAGTCATTTTAGATTTTCGAAACAAAACATGCGTTGATGGTCGACGCTGAGCGATTGTGTTCATAGACTCATTTGCATAAACCCAAGATGACAAGATGATTGACGGCTCGGAAAAGACCAAAATCCATTCAGGGTTTTGAAACGACGGGCAGCGATGCAACGATTTTCGCTGTAATAGAATAGTTTTATTGGGTGTTTTTACTCTATAACCAACATGGCGACCACGTCCTTGGAAACAAATGTAAACCTGCAATATATATGTACGTTTGTACTATAATCGTGACAAATTCTAATTGACGTTTGGCTTGTTATTTATTATGGAGTTTTAAAGCTTTAAATTTCTCATTTATTTTTGTGCAATTTTATGACCTTTTTTCCCTCCATTCTTTGTGCGCCTCCTACCCGGGTGTACTTTTATACTCTGCAAAGTGTACGTTTGTATCAGCTTTTTTTCTTTTTTTACAGATGCAGAGCGAGTTTCCCAGAAAGGAATCCTCGAGCTTGATGATTCTAAGCTTACAATGACATTGAAAGAAATTCCAAAAGAAATCCCAAAAGACCCCAACAAGCTTCATGTGATGGGAATAGGCGAAAAAACTACCAAGGACGGGCTCATATCGTTCATGGAGGTGGTCAGCGGAGAGGAAGTAGATAACATGTTCTTTGGAAGTAATTCTAATGCACTGGTTACTTTTAAAGAACCACCTGGTGAGTGGTATTCAAAAGCAATTTTTAACTCATGGATACGCGAAGCGTAGAAACGAGTTTTTGTGAGGGTTCTAAATATGCAAATGTGTCACTCGCTCACTCACTCACTCGCTCACTAATATGATAGCAGATCGATAATTAAACGTTTAGCGATCGTCTTACGTCATCTGATTACGAAAGTTACACGACACTAACAAGTACGAAACTCTTATGCAGTATAGGCTACATTGGGTATTTATATGAGGAAATAAAGTGCTAATGATACATGTGGGATATTTCTAGCAATGACGTAAAAGAATACAATTAAAGCCTGAACAAAAAATTCAATGAGTTAAACCTTTTTTTTTTCCTTTCTTTTTTCTTTTTGCCTATGTATTAAAGTAATCAGAAACGCTTATGTACAATCGTTAGGTAAGACTCATGTTCATAAGACTCGTATCGTTGGTCGAGCCGGATGCATCGAAAAAACCACTTTTCATTAGAATTCAAAATGAGATTCAGATTTCAAGCTTTGGATGAATTTATTCTCATTAGAGAAAGGTCGAAGTCACGGCGGTATGCAGCAAAAAAATCTTATAAACTCGATCGAGCGAAAATTTATTTACTTAAACTGACTTCTTGAATAATCAATGTGGATGTAGGTTGTAGAAAAATTAGCAAAAGACCAAATTTGGAGCAATTCCGGTATCTAGATGGCTTTTATTTATTGTTTCTTTTATAATTGCATCTTTTGTAAGCACAATATATTTGAAACTCAGCTTTCTGGGCCATCTACCATGGATAAATAAAGTTAATTGATTGATTGATTGATTTTTGCTCACTGATATCGATTTTTTTTTGTATTTACACACGAAGATATAGACAAAGTCCAGAAGAAGTGTAGCACAAGAGCAATTGACGGCAGCCACCTCAAGATCGAACAGGTTAACATATGTGACTGTATCGAGGTGACGGGACTCGCTCCAAACACAACCAAGGACACCGTGTTCTATTACTTTGATAATCCAAAAAATGGTGGGGAAGTGAAAAAAGTGGAAATGGATTCGGATAACACACGAGCACTGGTTTTCTTCGAGGATCCATCAGGTTTAAATTTACTTTAAAACTGAAATCTTTTTTTTTTTTTTTTAACTGAATTCATTATTAAAACATTATGTTATTATGTATGACCATGAAGCAACCAAGCAAAGGGAAATTATAAACAACCGCTTAATAACCGGAAGTGAAGTTACATAACTTGATGACTTGGTGATGCACCTTTAGAAAATAATGTACGTACTAGTCCTCTTTTTCCAGCCGTAGAGTTGCTGTTCGTTGTACTTTCACAGAGGTGTCCCTCGTGGCGGCGCCGTAAATCTTCAAATCATTTGACTTTATAGAAAAAAGGGCTTAGTCCACCTAGCTCCTTTCACATGATTGGAAGATTACCTTCAGACATATTGTGATTTTTACTCAGAAAACGATTATTTCAGCTGTAAGGTATATTCATGTTTACTTGAGAATTTATCGCTCTAATCCAACTGATTTATTTTCCTTTTCATTTCAGTTGTCAACACCGTCGTTAAAACCAATCACAAGATAAATGAAGCAAAGCTGAAAGTCGTTCCTTATTACCCCTTTCTTGGAGAATCTTTAATCCAACCTGCTGGAGGGAAAAAAGAACGAGTAGTGAAAGTAGATCCAATGACGATGGCATTTATTGACAAATTCATACAACAAGAATTTGACCGGCTTCTGCAGGAAAGTCGAGTAAAGTACACGTGGCAGCAAGGTTCAGATGAGATTTTCCTTGCTTGTGCTGAACCCAAGATGGACAAGAAGACATGGGAGAATTCATGTGAAGCTGTTGTAACCTTCATCAACCAAATTGTGACAGAAAAGATCACCGTGTCCCAAGAGGCCTGGAACGAGATTTGTGAAAAAGCAAAAGAAAAATGTGCAACTTTTAAAACAAGATTGGATGTTAGGTACAAGGAAAGAGAACGTTCAATCACGTTAACAGGCAAGAAATCCGACGTGTCTGTATTAGCAGAGGGCCTGAACGATTTAAACTCTGAGATTCAAAAGCAAATAGAATTCGAGAAAAACAAGATTTCCAAGAGTCTTTCCCTCACACAGGCGCAAATAGATTTGTTGAGCTTTAGTGGATTTGTAGAAGATCTGCAAACAAGATGTAAAGATCTTGAAATAACATTTTCGAAAAAGAACGGTTCTATTGACTTCAGGGGACCAGATGCTGTGGTGAAGGAAGGTAACATTACCGTTTGGCAAACACTGTCCAGAGTGAAAGAAGTGGATATGGAACTACCTAAATCCATAGTTGGTATTATTGTTTCTCAAGCAGGAAAAGTATTCATGGCAGCAAAGTTCAAAAAAGAATACATCGATGCCGTTGTAAATTGTGACCCAAATTCTGACAATCAGCTAGTAGTGACAGCAGTTGATCGAAAAGATGCAAAAAAAGCAGTTGTTCTCATCAAAGATTTGACATCAGAACAAAGCATCCCTCTTGATGATCATCAAAAGCAACTCCTTAACTCAGAGAAATGGAAACAGCTGAAGCATTCCATCCAACAGTCGATGCTGTTACAAGCAAAGGAAGAACTAGCAGCAAGTACATTGTGGATAGCTGGTATCAAGGAAGAGGTAGACAAAGCTAAAGAAAAAATAGATGGCTTTTTTGAAGAAAACATTATTCTAGAAAATGTCATTAATGCTGACAATGGTCGCCTCAAGTTCATTTTTAAATACAAAAAAGATGCCATACAAAATATGGAAAAGTCGTTTACCAACCAGTCCGTGAAGATCATTAAGAAAACTGATGAAGAGGACGGAATGAGTGCACTTGTAGTGTGTGGTACCAGAGATGGGATCCAGAAAGCTGTTCCAAACGTTCAAAAACTAATCAATGAGATCAAGGATCGTAAAGTACATCTGGACGAACCAGGAATGAAAAGGCTTTTCAGCAAAAGGAAGGGGATCACTCAGTTGTCAGTTGTTGAAAATGAGCATGACTGCATAATAGAACGATGTACACCAACAACTGATACCAAACAAAATTTTTCCAAGACCTTTCATGGAAACAAGAGCTTGTCCAAACTTATTTGTAGCTTCGTTACACCTGAAGAAAAGAAAATCTTACTCTACAAGGGAGATCTAACAGAACACAAAGTCGATGTCATGGTCAATGCTGCCAAC